CTATGGAGGCTGTGAGCTATTGTCCTGTTTGGTCTGTTTCTGCTCCTCCATGCTGTCACAGACACTACCAGTGGACGGTGTGGGTGGGGCTCAGTCTAGTGATCTTTATATTTAAGTCTATGGTTCTGGTTCTTCGGAGGTGGTTCCGGTGGAGGTGGCGTCAGTCGTCCTGCAGTCCACAGGGTGGGCACAGACTGTCAGCAATGCAGAAAACCTGCTTCCTGTTCTCCTAAGCTCTGCCTTCTGTGCTAACGTGGTTCTGAAGGTGAGTTGGACAGAACCTAAACACACGAGAACCCAGAAACAAATCCTGCTCTGCATTCAGATGAAGAGAAATTCAGAAACAGAAGCTACTTCAGACAGAAACATTACAAAAACCCTTTCATTAACGTAAGTCTAGATATTCAGAAGTGAATGTTTTCATGTTGTCAGACTGCTCTAAGTTTGATTTAGTACAAACACTTTTACACAGAAAGAAAAGTTGGATAAATGGAGGAGAAACGCTTCAGTGTCTGATGTCAGGAGAGGATTTTCTCACAGAGACTGGATGAAACTTTTCTCATCTGTGTTTTTACAGACAAACTCTCTGTACAGATAGTTCATTGTGTCTGTCAGGAGAACCTTTTATTCTCCGTGCTTTATGTACGTTAACTCAGATTTACCAAACAATAATAGTTTATATAATAAACTCAGAGTTTAGGGATAAGCTCAGATTATCTTCATTAATGGATCAGCTTAGTGTCCTCACTCAGCAACAAATAAAAGAGCTTATGAGTAAACTCAAAGATTTTTCACTAAATAACCTCAAGAGTTTACAGATAAACTCAGTTTTCTTACTCTGAGTAAAATAACTTGGTATGAGCTCAGATGAGAAGACTCTGGTACTTAACTYTGAGTTCATTCATAAACTCTGAGGTGCTTCAGAGTTTACAGGTAAACTTGGGCTGCTCAGAGTAGATTATCAGTTTACAAACACTAAGAGTTTTTATAAAAACTATTGTTACTACTGTTGACTGGTCTCTCAGCTGTAACCGGAGATGATGTCGTCCTTGAAGCTCTGAAACAGTTTCTTCTGTTCAGAAACATCTTTCTTTAGTTGCAGATCAAAATGAAACATTCTTTAACTTGCAGGGTCTGGAATTCCWGTCTGTCAGACAATCTTTTGCAAACATTTTTGTAGAATTGAAAAGCTCAGTCTGTACCCAAATATTTTATTTTAATGAAAACAAAGAAGTCGACATGAGCGTCAGAGTCTTTTAATCTGACACCAGCAGATCTGTGTYCAGACGGACCAGTACTGAGCCACATGTCAGAACTGGACCTTTTCCTGCAGACCTGATGCTGGGTCCAGGTTTGTCCAGGTGAGTGTGGTGTGTTGGGTAAAYGTGGCTGCTGTTTGTCTCCTCAGGTTGTTTATGTGATCAGGTATAGCTCAGCCGGTGAGCTGGTGAACGCCTCCGTGTCCTTGGTGCTCGGTTCTGTCCTGGAAGCTGCAGTCATGCTGAAGCAGGAGTTTCAGGTCGTGTTCATCCAGGTACTGAAACCCAACCAGTCATCACCCGTGGAGGTGCACTAGGAAAGCAGTTTTACTGAGCTTTTTAAAACATAAAGTGAATGTTAAAGGGGACATGTCATTCAAAACCCACGTTTTTAGCTGGTATTTTGTTGAACTTTTCAGCCCATTCAGTTTTCTCTATTTTCTATGACGTTTTCTGAACTATTACATCACAGTTTAGGCAACAGAACTGCCAAATAAGGTCTGGACTTACCACCCACCATTTGGTGGTCTTTATTCTCCTCTGGTTCTGGGTCAGACTCTGGTTCTGGATCAGACTCTGGTTCTGGGTCAGACTCTGGTTCTGG